TCCTCTCCTGCTGATGTTCAGGTGTATATCAGTATGTAGTGTCTCTACTTTAAAGAGTCCTCTCCTGCTGATGTTCAGGTGTATATCAGTATGTAGTGTCTCTACTTTAAAGAGTCCTCTCCTGCTGATGTTCAGGTGTATATCAGTATGTAGTGTCTCTACTTTAAAGAGTCCTCTCCTGCTGATGTTCAGGTGTATATCAGTATGTAGTGTCTCTACTTTAAAGAGTCCTCTCCTGCTGATGTTCAGGTGTATATCAGTATGTAGTGTCTCTACTTTAAAGAGTCCTCTCCTGCTGATGTTCAGGTGTATATCAGTATGTAGTGTCTCTACTTTAAAGAGTCCTCTCCAGCTGATGTTCAGGTGTATATCAGTATGTAATGTTCAAAAAGCTCTTTTCTCATACTTCCTGTGATGCAGCACATTTTAGCGTTTGCACACAAACCTATAGAAAACATTACAGGAAAGAAAATAAAACCCAAACTACCTCTTTAATAATTCAGGTTGTTTGGTCTACGTTAGATGTTTCAGCTGCAGTATGGAAATAAACCCCTTCTTAGTTTCATGTCACGTTAACCTAACACCACTTGGATTTTTTTATCCACTCTCAAAAGGAAAGTCTCTTCACAACAAACTGAGCTGTGAGAACTCAATCAAACCAACAACAGGAAGTGACCCCACATCACAAGGCTTTAAAGAGGAGAGAGGCTGAATACAAGGGGCTGGAATGTGATTTCATTTGGCTCTTTGGCAACGTGTGTGTGTGCCACTATTGTTGGATTATGTTTTGCTTTCTTTTTTCAAACTGTTACTACCCCCCTTGTGCATTGTGCTTTGGCAATACTGTGATTTATTATGTTCATGCCAATAAAGAGTCTTTGAGTTTCAGAGAGACTCTCAGATTCCATAACACTGGCAGAAGCAGAGTGGAGCGAGGGCAGAGAAAACAAAAGAGATCCCAGAATAAAAAATTGGAACGGTTGAGAACATGGGACATATAATTAAGGGAAAAATAAAGAAAAGCTGTTTAGCTCACGTTTATATTTAACAGAATAATTTAACGCCACTGTCAGGGTTTTGTAATTCTGTCTTTATGGCCCATTGAATCCTTTAAACGGCCTCTGTTGAATGATTGGTCAACCGCTTAGAGATGTCCCGCCCCCTTAGCCTATCACGTACATGTGTCAGCCAATAGCAGCGCCAGTCTTCCGTTGTGATGTCATCGTGTTACTGAACTTTGAGATTTTAGCCTCTGCAGACCATTTACATGCACTAAAACCTATAGAACACACTACGAGAGAGGAAAACCACCAAAAAGCAGAATACGGCCTCTTAAAATGCTCGTTTTTTTGTTGGATAATGAACTATTATAGACAGGGGTGCACATAACCTTCCTTCCTCTCCTTGTTTCCTCCCCTCGTTCCCTTTCTCGAGCCGCTGCCCTGCCAACATGAGGAAACCCTCGCTCTCGTCTCTAATGAGTCTTACTCCCCGCTGATCCGCCCACAATTAAAACTCATTTGCGTAATTGGTCAGAAGATTTGGGCAGCCATCGAGTCGTATCAATAAGGAGGAAAACAACAAAATGGGGTCCTTGTTTACAGAGCGCTACGTGCAGGAGTGTGCACGCAATACGTGCACACAATACACACACACACACACACACACACACACACACACACACACACACACTCCTCTAAAGAAACCTTTGTCCTGCATGAGCAATTCGATAAGATTACAGGTCTGCGAGCATGTGCTTGTGTAACTCCAATCAGTGTGTGTGTGTGTGTGTGTGTGTGTGTGTGTGTGTGTGTGTGTGTGTGTGTGTGTGTGTGTGTGTGTGTGTGTGTGTGTGTGTGTGTGTGTGTGTGTTCTCACCTGTCGTCGCAGTAGGTGAACTTCATGTCCATGCTGTGTCGGCTCAGGAAGGTCTTGCTGTCCAGCGGCGTGTCGATGTTGGAGGGGTGAGCGATGGGTTCACACATCAGGACGGCACAGGTGAGCGGGGGCTCAGCGAAGCCACACAGAACACGAGGAGGAACGCTGGTGTAGATCTTCAGGTGACCCGTGCAGTGAAGCACCTGCAGAGGGGGACAGGGGGAGTTACAGGACAGGTGAGAGACACAGGTGGAGGTCACACACGTAAGAGACACAGGTGAGAGACACACGTAAGAGACACAGGTGAGAGACACACGTAAGAGACACAGGTGAGAGACACAGGTGAGAGACACAGGTGAGAGACACAGGTGAGAAACACACAGGGGATAGG